AATAATAATAATAATAATAATAATAATAATAATAATAATAATAATAAACAATAAACAATAAACAAATTTAACCTTTATGAAATACATTTAAATCCATAGACACCATGGAGGATGGTATGGTTAATATTAGATGTAAATACATAATTCATAAAGCACTTATAGAAGTTTATTTACAGGTCATCCTCAATTACAACCATTTGTTTACTGACTATTCAAAGTTACAGTGGTACTGAAAAGTGTCTTATGACCAGTTTTCACACTTAATGACTGCTACAGCATCCTCAGTCATGTGAACAAAATTGGGAAGCTTGGCAACTGGCATGTGTTTATGATGGTTGCAATTTCCCCAGATCATGTAATCATCTGTAACCTTCCCAGCTGGCTTTCAACAAGCAAGGTCAATGGAGGAAGCCAAATTCACTTAATGACCAGGTGATTCATTTAACTGCAGTGATTTGCTCAACAACTATAGCAAAAAGATTGTAAAATGGGACAAAACTCACTTAACAACTATCTTGCTTAGCACCAAAAATGTTGGGCTCAATTGTAGTCATAAGTTGAGGATTACCTGTATTTTATTATAAACAAGCTCACCATCCTATTAGCACTAAAAACTAATCTAGATATAAAAGTCCATATTTATTTTTTAATATATTCCAGTAATATTAGTTATTTGCATTTCCATCCTGTTTTCCTTGTGCAAGCATGCATGGGAAAACATCCTCATTTTATCTGAATAATAAAGTAAGTAGGTTGTGTAGAATTCAAAATTATCCACTTATCTATAATTATCATATATTGATAATTTCAGTCCAAGTCCAACATATTAAATACTGCACTATTCTAACACTAAATTAAAAAATGAAGTATATTGAACTATGCAGTATTATTATGTAGACAACACTGATTATTTAAAAAACTGAAGGAAATAATGAAGGTGAAATTCATTTTTTCAATTTCATAATGAATTATTAATAACTAAGAAGAGTATTGCAAGAGGGATGAGGTAATTTTGAAATCTCTATAAGGATCACATTAAGAGGAGAATCTAGCCGATTAAACATGTGTCTATAAAGCACAAATTTGAATGAGAGGGTGGAGCTCACTTGAGTGGGAAAATGTAACACCTGGTGCTTAACTCAAATTAGAGGCATATCTCCCCTTCCACTATGTCTACAACAGCAGAAAATATTTAGCAATAATAGTTTAATACTGCTGAGCTAGTCTTACTCATCAACTTAGTTGGTTTTAACACGTTTCTCCCTCGAATTTGGGGGCGGGGGGAGAGACAGAAAGGACAGAAATGTAAGAGAAACTTTTAACATAGGAAAATTAAAAACAGTTCTTTTTCATATAAAAAACGCTCTTTTTGTATACCAGCCAGTACTAATCTAGCTATAACTAGGAACTGATTAGTCAAGAAAATGAGAAACATCATGTAGGCAAACAACTCCAACCCCTTGTTGTAGATAGGAATCCAATTCAGAATATTCCTGATGACTGTCTAGCCTCTACTTGAACACATCTAATGAAGAGGAATCCACCAATTCTGGATAATTGGTTCCAGAGTCAAACTATTATCACTGTTAGGATTTCCCCCCCAAATATTCAATTTTAATTTACATTTTTGTAACTTTATACATAGCTTCCATAATATTATCTTATATATGATAACAAGCATGTCACAAGTGTGCTCCTTCTAGAGGAATACAATTCTATCCAGAGCCAGGATCACATCAAATTACAGGTCCTATTTGTTTGGGTCGCATTTAGCATGTAGATTCTTGATATCTTGCAAATCAATCAAGACTGACTTATAAGTATGGTGTGTGATATTTCATCAATATGTTTGGTCTTGATGAAAATGCACATCATGATACAAGTAGTCCTCAATTTATGACCATAATGGAGCCCAAAATTTATGTTGCTAAGCAGGATAGTTGTTAAGGGAGTTTTGCCGCATTTTACAACCTTTCTTGCCATAGTTGTTAAGTGAATCACTACAGCTGTTAAGTTAGTAATCTGGTTGTTACAAATATTGTAAGCATCTGAATTTTGGTCACATAACCCTGGGGATGCTGCAACAGTCGTAAGTGTAAAAAACAGTCATAAGTCACATTTTTCTTTACCACTGAAACTTACTAAATGAATTGTTGTAATTTGAGAAGTACCTGTTTACACTTCTTCTTGGAAGAAACTGAGAATCTCCAGAGAGTTTCCCTCCATACTATATCTAATTATTAGTGTGCTCTTTCATTGAACCAAATGCCTATATGTTCAGAAATCTTACCCTTAGACTGGTCAGAGTGGGATTAAATGGAGTCAGCGCAAAGCCAACCATGTTTTCATATAACAACCTAAATTTAGGGAAACTCCAATTTTTGTTTATAATTTTTAATTTGCATACCTTAATAAGGAATCTAATACGGCATCTAGCACATTCTTCACTTCTGAATTATTCCTCAGGAACCATTAATTTAAACCTTTTAATGTTCTGTTCATATATATTATATATGTTTCAAAAGCAGACTTCCACTTATACAATTTAAATATCTTTTCCCTCTTCTCTCTATATAAGATAAATGGTAGACATATTGGCTACCAGGAAAAGAGTGATTGGCTGCCAATTCTACCCATTCCACTATTAAAAAGTCTTTCTAGATTAGGGATCTCCAAACTTGGCAACTTTGACACTTGTGGACTTCAACCCTCAGAATTCTCCAGCCAGCATGCCTGGCTGAGAAATTCTGGGAGTTGAAGTCCACAAGTCTCAAAGTTGCCAAGTTTGGAGACCTCTGTTCTAGATACAAGTCTATGTATCCATCCAATGTCTTGTCTACTGAGTTTCTTGTCTAAGAAATACAACTTTACCAAGCAAGAACTTCTATATTTCATTGTAGCACTGAAAACAAGATTTATAGATAATTTATATTTTTTTAAAAAATTGGATCTACCACCTCAAAAGGAATTTTATCAATATCAGGTCTAACATTTGAGCTCTTTAATTATGAAAGAACAACTTCTACAAGGTCAACAAAGACTCTGTAGAACCTAGAAATAACATGAATAAAACTGAGGATTTACCTGAGGGAATTGCTGAGGTCCTGGATAATGCATTCTTGGTCCTCCAGGTGGAGAAGCATTTTGGTAGCCTGGGGGCAAGCTAGGATAAGCAGTCCCAACATGTTTGTTCACTTTAGTATTTTGAGGAGCAGAATTGTGTGGGGTTGCTGAAAGAGTAAATACACCAAATGGTAAATAATCTTAAGATTAGCTGCCACTTTTAGTGATATACAGTATTTAGTTATATACCATTACTCTATAGACAAATAAATAAAAAGTGGTGTGTTTAAAAAATAATAATTTTAAAACTTAAAATACTTTCCAAAAATAAGTAATATCACTCAAACTAAAACCACAAACATAACTTCTAAATTTAGTTCCCCCTCTCCCGCCCCTGGCAATAATAGCTCCCCTAGTACTGCTAACTTAAATCATGAATCAATTGGCTGCCTGAATAAAGCTTCAGTTTAAGATATGTTTCTGCTTTGGAGATCCTAAGTATGCTCAGTCCTTCACACTAATAAATACACTTATGTCACCATATTCTCTTTTTGTTTTCATTAAACATTGTGCCTTTTCTAGTCACAGCTTTTGAATGGGTTTAAGTTACAAATGGAATTCTCATATTTGAACAAAAATCTAGTTATTATACTGTAATATTTATCTACAAGTCTGACATGTGGCACCAATCCAAAAGAACTCTGAATGGCTTACACTGCTCTCTTTCAGTAAAAAATTCTTCTCTTCCAGTGAAGACTTGGTATAGTATTCATTACCAGTGGTGGGATTCAAATTTTTTTACTACCGGTTCTGTGGGCGTGGCTTGGTGGGCGTGGCAAGGGAAGGATACTATAAAATCTCCAGTCAGGGGTGGTATTTGCAGGTTCTCCAAACTACTCAAAATTTCCGCTACTGGTTCTCCAGAACTGGTCAGAACCTACTGAATACCACCTCTGTTCATAACTTTAAAAAGAAATTTTATCACAGAAACAGGAATAGATCACTGTAACAAAAACCAGATTACAGCAAGAAGCAGTTGTTGAAAAAAAATTGATTTTATTCAATTTAACTTTCTTTTTCATATGATTAAGAACAGATACTTGAATAACATATAGTCATTCCCAACGGTAATTGGGACTGGGAACTCCAATGCTAAGTAAGACACAAGATCATGTGATTGTGCTGACTTATGTCAGCAGTCCCAAATGCCGTTGCTATGTGAATCCTGTTTGGCTGCCGCATTCCCAGGTCACTTTGCCATTTGCTATTAACCTTCCCATTGACTTTGCTTGTCAGAAGCCAGCAGCGAAGGTTGCCAACAATGGTGATATAACAATCGGCCACGGTGATGTTGTAATTACAAGCCTGCTGACCATGATGTCCAATAAAACACATTATTACACTATCTGGAGGACTACTTCAAAAACTACTAATGGAAATTTGGGGACAATTTCATGAAGAAATAGATGGAAGTAATCGGGCCAAACACTATTTCTAGTTATTTCTCTTGGCAATATTTCAATTAACAGCTGATGCTTCACTTGGGATTTCAGATACAAGAGACTTTTTTTTGCTAGGACTTCACCTGTATTTTATGGTCAAAGTTCAATATTTTTGAAGTATTCCAGCCAATGCTCAAATCTCCAGATTCGCTATCATCATATATTTTGCACATGCATTAGCTTTCTTTAGTACATGATTCTGTACAAAATGTTGTTGGCATTGTTTTTAATCTAGGAATGCTGGTAACATTCTACGTTGCATCACAGAGTGCTCAAGCATGTAGTTCTACCACCAGGCAGAAAAATTGTGGTTAGAAATAGAGAAAATAAATTTTAATCACACTTTTAAAAATAGACTTCTTAGGTAACTTGGAGTGACAACTGCCTATGTTTAGGAAAAGTGCAGCAAACTGGGTCCAATATTCACAAAGCAAAAAGAAAACTAAACAACTGTGTCCTGCAGTGTGATGCAAGCTAATCACTTGAAGAGGAGCCAGAAAGTGAAAATAAAAACAGCAGCTAATGCACCTGGCAAAACCACACGAATCCAAATTTCCATATCAGCAATGGCATTTCATCAACACCATGGAACTTAGAACCTTTTGTGATGGTTTTGAACACTGAACTAAGGAAAAATGCATATAAAACCATGCAGTATGAATGTTTTATACAGTCCAAATAACAGACCTTCAAGCAAGGAGACAGTTTGCTGCCATTTTATATAAACACAAATGGATTGCAAAAGTTGTTATAAAAGGCATGTCATGTTGTCCAAGATTGTTGGAAGAACCAGTGTAATTCACAGAGGACATGACTTACTTTCACTTTTTCCAGATTAGTGTTTCAGCCCCTCAATGCCCAAAGCTTGAGCATATCAGAATCAGGTGCTGAACGTATCACCTGAACATACTGAAGATTTCCTAACTCTTGACAATGAATCCAGCCATTCATTAGAAAAATATCAAGCACAAAAGATGATTCAAATACACTTTATTGCCCTGAAACACTGCCAGCCTGTGAACCAGTGGATCATTCTTGCAACCAAAGACTGTGAGGGTTGTGGTAGTGGATGAATTAGATAAAGATCATAAAATGGGGCAAAACTCAACAAATGTCTCATTTAGTAACAGAAATTTGGAGTCCAATTGTGGATGTAAGATGAAGACTACCTGTAATGTCTTTCATTGAGTTTCTGTCTGATCATGAAACTGCTTTTTCATGAAACTGAGGCAAGAAAGATCCAAAAATGGAGCAAAATTCACTTAACAAATGTCTCACTTAACAACAGAAATTTTGAACTCAATTGTGGTCGTAAGCTGAGGACTACCTGTATACCCTCCTCTCCAAGGTCATTAAACCAAAAGTGATTCATTCAATATATATTTTTACTGCTATTTATAAGAATCTAGAACAGTGATGGTGAAAAAAACCTGTAAGTACTGTATTTGACTTCAGAGATCACTGAGGTAGAAACCCCACGATTATGAGCTTGTTTCTTAAAAGAATTCATTTTTAGTATAAATTAAAGTGGGATAGAAAAATATTTGTAAATTTTAGAACTGAAGAACACCTTCCAAAAATGCAGAGTTAACTAAACTGGAGCTGGTCTGGTTTCCAATATCACAAGTATTTATCTTCTTCTTTGGTTCTAAGAGTATTTTTGTTCTAAAGTAATATTACTCTGAAAAATTTGGTCTTCATTATTCTGCTTCATATTTACCTTTCAAAAATGAAACATAAAACTGCATCTCTGATTACTAATACCTATTCACACACTGTAGAAAGACTATTCAGATTGTATCAACAAGAATAGAGCTCTCTTAGTAAAAAATGAAAATTTCAGAACTTTTCTAAGTAATGAGTAAATCACAATTTAAACAAGCTGCCCCCATTAGTGATTTAAATCTAATATACCAAGAATTACACATACCTAACAATTATTGTAAGGTATAATTTCTGTAGGTCTGGAACATATGTTGGTTTTTATTAAGATATAACCAGCATGACAAAAGTTAAACCAAGTGATTTTAGACCTAAGCATTCTGCAAGACATTTCATTTTATACTACACCCCAAATCTTCTTACAAAAACCCAACTAAGGATGAGTCATGCAGGAGCAACTTCTTTAATTTAAAGAAAATGGACATTTTTTATTAATAGGCAACCAAAGAAAAAATGTTTTAGGTTCAATGTTTCTAATGGATAAATTTCAAAATTGTTTTGCTTTGTTGATAGTAACCTGGCATTTTCATTGTTAACTAGTTATAATTGCAACTTTATCTTGAGGGTTTAAACAAATCAATTACATCCTGTTTAAACACACATTTCACATCTGGATTAAAACCAGACTTTATAGTGCTGCTGAGTAAAATATTAGAATATTGCTAAATGTCTGTTAAATTGTTGCAGGCGTCCATATCACTTTTAAGGCACAGTTATATATAATTTATAAATATATGTTCTATTTTCAATTCCAGGAAGTACATTTCTTCTATACAAAAATAGCTCATATTTTGTGTGTGTGGCTGTTTTGAAACAGTATATGTTACAATATACAATAGAAACAATTCCCCATTTAATTTATCTTTGATCAATGGAAATGGAAGAAAGACTATCTTACCCAGGAAACCACCTCCTTCTATTGCATCATAATTGTTCTGGACTGATAGTCCATCATTAGCAGGGCATGTAGTATCACCTATTAACAAAATAATCTGTTAAAAATACGTAACACTTATCACAGCTGATATCATAGATTGTAAATCATTATTTATGGCTTAGCATTATATGTAAATAGGACCATTTTGACCTATTCAATATATTATGGTTAAAGTAAATCGGCTCAGTAAAATATATGAACCCAGTCCTTGCTTATGAAGTTAAAAAAACTTGTTCCATAAAAATGTTATGTTATACTATGCTATTTATTTGTTTTCAGCTGTAAATAGGATCCCTTTTCTCCTAAATAAAGTATCAATACTGGAATACACAAATAATCATATTCAATTACCTTATATAATTCAGCTTACATAATTCATATTTTTGCTCCTAACTGGCTAAAAGCAACTTCCTCTAATAACCGCATTAATGCTTACCTTCTTGCATACTTGCTGAGTTCTGTACAGCCTGAGATGCAGTGCTTGTTGGGGGAGGAGCTAATGGGGGAGCAGAAAGATGTGTATAAGCTGGACTTCCAACTGCAGAAGGTCCTAAAGAAGGTTGAACTGGCAAATAAATTAACTGATTAGCTGGTAGTGGAACAGTACAAGAACCTAAGCAGAACTTAAACCTAACACAGTGTCTCAATGAATTTATTTTGATACAGAATCTGTTCATTTCTTAGCACAATAGCAATAGCACTTAGACCAAGGGTTTTCAAACTTTTGTTTAAGACTT